GCATATTGAGGCCATACTCTTAAGTGAAATAAATAAGACACACATGTGTAAATACCAAATAATTTCTCTAGTGTGAGAAACTGAGAGTGTAAATAAGGACGAAAAGGATTAATAACTAATAAATGATACTTTGAAATTAGAAAAGGTCCAAAGGGGTAGGGGTGGTGAGAGGGGAAGGGGAAAGGAAAGAATGGAAAGGAAATATTATGAGAAAAGAAAAAAAATGGAAATGAAGTATGTAAATAGGGAAGGGTTTAGGGTTGAAGGGTGCACAGGTAATGGGGATAAAATAAGAACCAAGATACATCATGTGCAGGTACAAGCACCCAAAGATAAGTATAAACGTATTGTATACCTAAAATGTACCAATAAAAGAATTTAAGAAAAAAAAAGTAATACAGCTAGGTTATGTACAACTTTTATCCGGTTTTCTTTCAGTGGTAACATCTTGCAAAACTCTAGGACAATATGACAACCAGAATATTAACATTGATATAATCAAAACCAGAAGGATCAAATTTAGATCACCACAAGGCTCTTTCATGTTGTCCTTTTATACCTACATACAGGGGCTGATCAAAAACTACTATGTGTACTTAAATTTTTTAAATTTATTACAGTAAAAGGCATATTACCATTAGTCACCCTCAAAATATTCCTCTTCACTTCAAACACACTTATCCCATTTTTCTTGCCACTTTCTAGAGCAGTTCTGGGAGTGTTCTTTCATGAGTGTCTTTTTGTGGCTGCCTCCATGTCCTGAATCAATTCAAAGCATTTACAGCAAATTCTGTCAAAGAAAATCATGGTGTTTACCCATCTACCTTATTTACTGGATCTGGCACTGTGTGACTTCTGGCTCTTCCCCAAAGGCAAAATGACCATAAAAAGTAAATAATTTTGAATTGATTCAGACATCAAGGATAAAGACACTTATGAAAGAGGACTTCCAGAATGGTTCAGAAAGTGGCAAGAATGATAGCATAAGAGTGTTCAAAGCAAAGCTTTTTTGTGTGTATGTGTGGTACTGGGATTGAACACGTTAGGCAAGCACTTGATCACTGAACTACCTCTCCAACTCCAGCTCAGCCTAATTCTTGATTTACATTAATTCTTGATGGTGAAATTCTATTGATGACTTTCATCATTGATAGCTTGTTCCTTTTCATTGTTAAGTAAGATATCATATTACAGTATAGATAGATGTATTACAGCTTTAAGCCAGTTGCCCATTAAGGAATATCTGAGGTGTTTCCAATTTTTGCTTATTACAATTATATATTCAGTATAAATATTTGTGTACAGGATTTTCCAAAGAAACTAACATTTTACATTCTTGCCAGCAACATATTGAGTGATCCTATTCCTCCACATCTTCATTTAGGATTTCACGATTTTTAATTTTAGTTATATTTTAAGGCTTGATAGGATATAATTACAGGAAATTTTTCTCTTGAAAAAATTATTTTCATGAGTATGATTAGTGGTTTGGGTCTATTTACATTACACATTGGGAGAGTGACAAACTTTACAGAAATGAAGGACTTAAAAGACTGTCATTGAATACCTTCTCTCTTTCATTCAAACTGCTCTGGGCTTTTCCAATGAAAGGAAACTTCAAAGTGTAGAGAAAAAGCATACACATTTAGATACTAGGAAATTCATTTCTAATTTTTTTCTAATTCATTGCTAATTTTTTTTTCTTTTTCTTTTTTTTTGGTACCAGGGATCAAACTCAGGACCTTGTGCTTGTGAGGCAGGAGGTGGCACCACTGAGCTAAATCCCTGGCCCTTCATTGCTAATTTTTAAAGAGTGATTTTGCACATCATGTATTATTCTCTGCTTTTCCACCATCAAGTACCTGCCACTCTGTAACTACGTATTTATGAGCAGCGGTTGTTTGAATAATAGTCTGCCTCACTAGACTTAAGCTCTGCAAAAATGGACCTTAATTCTAAAGATAACTGTGTCGTTGATGCTTCCACAAGGTCCTGTATGTAGGCAGGGTTCAAATAATTTTTGGTGGACTACATAATGGAAGAAAATCTTTACCCCCTATTCACCTGACAGAGGATTAATATTCAGACTATATAAAGAACTCAAAGGAACTAACAACAAAAAATAATCCAGTCAATAAACAGGCAGATGATCTGAATAGACTCTTCACAAATAGCCAGTAAATATATAGAAAAGTACTCAATATCTTTAGCTGTCAGGGAAATACAAATCAAAACTGCATTGAGATTCCATCTCACCTCAGTTAGAATGGCTATTATTTAAAAAGAAAAGACAAATGCTGGTGAAGTTGCAGAGAAAAAGGAGCCCTCATACTCTGTTGGTGGGAATTAAATTAGTACAACCACTATGAAAAACAGTACGAAGGGTCCTCAAAAAGAAAACCCAAAATAGAACTACCATATGATCCATCTATACCACTCCTGGGTTTTTTATATATATATCAATCCTGAGTGTATATTTAAAGATATGGAATCAGCCTAATTAACTGTCAACAGATGAATGGATACAGAAAATACAGTACATATGCACAAAGAGGTATTATCCAATCATAAAGAAGAATGCAATTCTGTAATTTGCAGGAAAATGAATCGAAGTGGAAGATAACAAGTTAAGTACAATAAGCCAGACACAGAAAGACAAGTATATTTTTTCTCATATGTGGAAACAGAAAAAGAAAAAACCTGAAAGTAGAAGAGGAATTATTATATCTGAGCAGGGGGCCAGGGGAAAGGTCACAAGGGAAAAAGAGGATGAGTAGGAAAAGGGAGGGGAACATGGTCAGAGCTGGATATATGCATATATGGAAATGCTACAGTGAATCCCATTAATTTGCACAATTAATATTTATTTATAATAATAAAATAGACAAAAAATGAAAACTCCTTCAGGCAAGGTAGAGCCAATAGTAAATGATTATCAGGAAAAAAAAATGTGTGGTTTAATGAGGGAGTGAATTAAAATGCTCACCAAGTGATAATACTACAGAATACTGTCAGTGATTTAGAAAGATTTACTTGTAGTGTGAATCAAGCATGTCAAAAATTTCAAAAATGAAGGTGAGGAAAATTCACTGAGGAAAACATTCCAAATGTCTTTCAAGCTGGATGTGCCCCACCCTTGATTCTTGAACTTGGATACTATATGGATCATACGTGCAAGCAAGCTTGTTCTGAACCTGCAGCAGCATGAGGGAGGCTGTAAAGTCCATGCTATGACAGTGAGTCAGCCCCAATACACTACGGACTAACTGATTACACACAGTAGCCCGTCAGGCTTATCGCAGACAAAACAGAAGCTTAGTGACTGTGCCGTCTGAGTCCTGGCTATTCTTGCACAGCTGCCTTCATTCACAGTACCACTCCACTCCTCCATGGAAACTCAATTACTGAAGAAGACCAGTGATCTCTGCTCCAGCCAATGCAGCCTGCTCATGAAACTCCTAATATAGAAAGGGGCTTGGAACCAGTGTATCAACTGCAGCCACAGAGCTAAGGGGAGGAAGGAAGTTAGTAGGGAAAAAAGAGGAACTCCTGCCTGTGAGACTCAAGTGAAGCTCCTGGGTCATCTCCCTAGCGACGTTAAGTCTGAATAGTATATGCTCAAGCCTGTAGTCAACAGTGTGGTTAAATTTAGGTACTGTATTTGATAAGTAATTTCTAATCCTGTTTCTGTTAAGACTTTAAAACCTGGTAAGATGGGAAAAAACCTCAGGGAAGAGTAATTTCTAGAAATATGAGTAATGTTTCTGTTCCCTGTGTTAAATGCCACTCCAACTTAACCAATAATATCCCCTTTATACATTGTGAATTATAATTTAAGATTTAAGAAAAAGGTAAAAAAAAATTGAAAGTGGCCTACCCACAAGGTGCCCCATTTGTCACATTCTGGTTGAGGGAGCCGTTGATCCACACTATGGTGTTATTCACACATGCTTTTCCTGGAATATTGAGTTCTTGTATTTCAGTGTCATACTCAATAAAAGTATCAGTCATTGTACCAAAAATGAGAAGCACTCCTGGCTGGGCCAGTCCATGCAGCAATGCACATAAACTTCCAACAAACATCAGCCAAATGTCAGTCGATGAAGAAAATCGAAACTTGAAAAACAAAGAGTTCAGAAATCATTTATGGCCAGAAATCAGGAGAAGCAGGAATATGATTTAATTTTAGCTACTAGACTGTGATAAACACATAGTATTCAACACCAAATTTTATGGGAATCATCTTAACTAAGCAGTAGAGTTCACACTAATTGTTTTGGAATAAATTGTACATCAATTATCTAAAACATTAGACTCTTACATTGTTAGATACTGTTCTTTCTGTCCTAATCTCAAAATTCTCCTTACCTCCGGAGCTGATTTTAGTGTTTTGCTACCTATCCACAACCCAAGGAAATCATTACCATGATGGATGCCACGGACAAGTGAATATGGGACATTCAGCAAAGGAATAAACTGGCTCTCAGAATTGGTCATGACAATGAAGAGCACCTGTTTGCACCTGAAAATGCCTCTATACTGTGCAAGTTGGGAGTAAGTACTTAAACTATGGAATTTCTAAATCTTTTCATAAAATTAATATTGATGGGCTGGGGATGTAGCTCAGTGGTTCCGCCGCCTGCCTCTCAAGTGCAAGGACCCAAGTTCAATCCCTGGTACCCAAAAAAAAAAAAAAATTAATATTGACGATGTGGTTACTATGATGGTTTTCTTTACTGAAATGATAATTATGAGTTCAGTGATTACTTTCCAGCAGATTTTGCTGATCTATTGGACAGAATTTATGTGTTTAGTGACACATTTCTAACCAGTATCCAGCATGTCACTATGCAGGTGAAGTTTATGACTGAGTAAGAGATCACTGGTTAAAACCTGCCAATATGGCTAAAGAGTCAGCACTTCCTCCATGCTTTGAATGATTCATGATTGCAAATCCCATGCTATATCAATCAGCACAGTTTTATTACCAGTTGCAAGAAGCCAACTTGTACGTGATCATCTTTCTTCTTTTCTTGTAACCTGAAAAAAGCAGGAATTTAAAGACTATCCTTTCCAAAGCAATGAGAAATTCTCTCTACATGCTGCTTTATGAGTCACTTTTTAGTAAGAAAGCCCCCACTGGCTAGGAAATTAAGACCGAACACGGTATCTTGAAAATAGCCTTTTATTCTTCTAGAGATTTCAGTAGAGCTATACCTCACATTCAGTAGAGATGCAGTAAGATTTTTGATGTAGTAAGATTTTGGTTTTGGTTTTTATTTTTGGAGAGGTATTGGGACCAATTAAGAAGTCCTAGGTGCTATACTTCCAGTTATACCAACAATTAGCTTCAGCTTCAGCTGTGTTCCTTGACCCATTTATACTTACATTTCCTTGTGGATAAATTAAGGTGGTTAGATTAGCTGATATTAAATCTTCCTTCTAGCACTTACAAGTTTGATAATCATATGAAATAGTTCTGATATGATGTAAAACTCAAAAACAAGCCCATGATCTCCATTAGATTGAATTTCCTTGGTATTGTTATTCATCTCATTCCTCATAAGGTCATGCTTGACTTGTCTTTGACTTCCTCAACTCCAGGGATCACCACTTAGATACAGTGAGTCACTCATTCTGTGGACACCTCGGACTTTGCTGTCACCAGGAACTATTAGAGTTCAGAACATTTTTAATTCCATTGGCACTCTGCAGCTGCCCATTCATCCTGTTTTCTCAGTTCCTTCCTTCTTCCATGTCTTTGTCAACTTCAATTAGATTGCAATCCTTTAAATCCTCTCATTACTCACAATCACTAAACCTCATCAAGATTATTCTTCTTTCCCTGTACATCCCAAGTCCTATCGCCTAGCATTTGAACCACATCCCCAATCCTTTTCCCAAAACCATCCTCAGAAACTACCTCTGCATCCATCTAGCTATTTGCGTTTCTCCCCCTTTAGCCAGGCTGCTGGGCCTGCTAGAGACAACCTAACCATGTGGACTGAAGCCAACACACGCAGTGTGTATCCCTTGGCTGTCCTAATCTTTCTTCCCATCCCAGAATAGAATCTCAAATCTTTATTGAGACCTCATTCAAGGTTCCTTGTGGTGTGGCCCCATTAGCTGTCTGACCAGGTCTTCTACTTTACAGCTCTCAACAACCAGTTACCTGGCCTCTTGATGAATTTTGTCCATACTAAATTCATTCCCACTTCTGGATGTTTGCATTTGCGAATCCCTCTCCCAAAATGTCTTCTTCAGATACCCACATGGACAGCTACTCTCACATCTTTCAACTCTTCCTTCCAAAGTTACCCCAACAGAGCCTTCCCTGGCCAAGGTCTTTAAAATTTCAACTTCTCATCCCAACATATATACATGCTATTTCATATCTTCAGTTCCATATTTACTATTCTTCCTTAGAAAGAAAACATAGGTTACCACTAGTTATAGTGCTACGTGTTTTATTTATTTATGGGGCTTATTATATCTCCTTTACTAAAATGCTCTCCTCAATGGCAGAGGTTTTTGCCTATTTTCTTCTTTCCTTTGCCCATTTTTCTTTTTTCTGTACCCTCAGCACCTATAATAGTGCCCAACACTTTGCAAGCATTCACTGAATATTTGTGAAATGAATGAACAAATAAATGAATGAACTAGTGAATGTGTGTTCTTCAGCTTGACCCACAACACTGAATTTCATCCCTCTGCAGAGCACTTTTTTATTCCTCAGCAGCTTTGTCAAACTTTTACTGTGATTTTTGCATTTCATATTCACCTCCTCTAAGAACAAAAGAACTCACTCAACTTCCTATTCATGCTGTTGTTGCCATTTATCCAAATCTGTGCCATTTCTTCTTTTCCAACCAGTGAAGAAAGTGTGGTTCCTTGAGGCCCAGGCTGAGCTTATCATTTCTATCTGAAAGCTAATCTTATCAATACCACTTCTACCCTCCCTCCCTCCCTGCCTCCCTCCCTCCCTCCCTCCAGGAAATGCTTACAATTTCCTAAATATCTAAAATTCCTCTCTTTCTACCCACTTTCATGTCAGAACTCACCTGGTGCCTCCTTTCTGTCTTCTAAATTAGATCCCTTCATACCAAAGAATGACTCATTGGCATTTGTTTTATATGAGAATTTGGACTCAAGTTAAAGAAAAATGCCTAATAATTAAATTGTAGGGTTCTACTATTCATCTGTAGGAAGAATTTGTGGTTTGAGGATTTGCTTGTGACCATGAAATCACAAATATTATCCAGCTTTCCCCCCTGCTCACTGGGCCAAGAGTTCTGTGGTATTCCTAGACACAAAGGGAGATTTAGACCTAATCCAGAAGGGATATTTCAAAAGGTTTTTAGAGTCACCTTTAGTAGTGTTTTAAAGAGAAGAAGAATGAGTTGTGTATACCATTTTATGATAAGTACAGTGTGCATGCAAATATTCTCTGGTTTTATAAGAATATTGTAGAATTACTCTAAAAAAGATGCCTCATTGTTTAAATTGTCACTTACCTTGGTTTCTTATCACTGTTATCTGTCAGATAAAAACAATGCATAAAGAAGTTAATAATAATGATAAAATGTAAGATAATTATTAATAATTTTGCTCTGAAAATTTTCTATATAGTACTTTTCTTTACGTAGCATTGCAAAATAGTTGTTTGCTTTTTCTCTTTTCGTGCTTTCTTTTTCTCTACATATATGTATAATATATATTACAGAAAAGATATTTTTCAGTCTCAGGATTGCTGCCTTGGCTACATTTCTGGACTTCTCTCCTGGTCATAAAATATTTGTATTTTATGGATAGCAAATGGAGACCAACATTCCTAAATTGTCCCCTTCCACACAATCTCATTCTGACGGGCAGTCTTGGTACCACTCCTCCCAAGGAGCAGCACTCACTTAATGATTGCCCTGTCTCTGCTATGATCAGTAACAACACTGGAACAAAGTTAATAATAACAGCCAGTGCTGGTCAGTGCTGGGACAACCTTACACTACCTAGGACGGGGATTTGTGAGAGATTCTTCCTCTCATCTCAACACACTTTGTGTGTTCTCACCTGGAGGTTCGAGAGGGTACAGTGCATGGATTCTGGAGAGAACCACGAGGTTGCGTGTCCAACGCATGCCCAGTAAGAGTTCTACATGTCTTTGCTGATTGTTTTCTTCTCCTTGAAATTTCACTAACTTGTCCTACTTCTGTGTTTGCCTCTCCTTGTACAAGAGGCATTGAGAGAAAAGGTCACTTACGTGATGAGTCTGACTCAAAACCATAATTCTCTTCTCCAAATTTCTTCACGCTGCGAAGAATTACTGAGTCAGACATAGTAATTGCAATCTGCAGTCAACAACCCTACAAAATGAAATAAAAGATTTATTGCAATTATATGCTTTTTTTCTCTTTAATCAAAGTAGCCAAATAAAAGAACACTTTGATTCAAAAAGAAACAAACTTCACTCATCAATCTCAAGCAAAAGCAGGTTTTAACTGGCTAGTACCTCAAGAAAGAGCCTAATTACTAGGAAAGATAAACAGAAATCATTAGCAATGGCCTTTTCTAGTTGGTAAATGGACAACTGTTTTATATTCATTTGATCTTTCTACTCATTTGAGTTTTATTTGTTTTCAATGAGTTAACATAAAAACCCTAAGAAGCACAAACCAAATGGTGACATTCTTGAGTCCAAGACACCTGAGTGCTCTGGGAACCCAGGGCCAGAGTAGGTGGCCACAGGGCTGGAACAGGCGACTCCCCCTCCCCAGACGACAGCACATGCCCTCCTGGGGCCTGAATGACATCCACATGCTACTGAGCAGCATCGCAGCTCAAGATAAAAAAGGTTCACTAGGACCAAGGAAGCAGATGAAGGGCAGACTCTGAGTAAAATGTAAATGTCTATCAAGTGATGGTTCATATTATTCACAGAGGAAAATAATCAGTCTTTAAAAGAAAATTTTTCAGGGTGACTTAGCATAGAGTTTCTGCCTAACTAACTCTCTCTGCTTCAATTATATGGCAATGGGGGATAACAAGTTCTTTTTTATTTTTCTATTTTGGAAAAAATTTCAATCAGACTCAAGTCAATAAAAGTAAACGTCTCCATGAAGCAGAAATGGAAGAGAAGTATTAGGGCAAGCAGAGCTCAGAAGAAGCTGCCGCTTTCCCCTCAGGGTGTAGAATCAGATAGGACTGTGAGTGCCCCACACTAGGCAGGGGCAGGGGACCCCCTCAATTCTTGGAACCAGAGGCTACTGTGAAAAGCTCCTAACTTCACGTAAGTGGAATCTCAGAAGAAGAAAGTGAAGAACGAAAAAGATATAATAACTAAAGAAATAATTGCTAGGAATTTTCGACAAGCAGTGACCAGATTCCTCAGATTAACAGTGAACCCCAAGGATTGATCAGGATAAATAAAACTCAATCAAAACTTAGATGCGTTATACTGAAATATTTAAGCATCAAGAATAAATAAGACATATGTTACAAACTGTGAAAGGAGAAAGTATATTATCCAAATGTAAGTAATAGATTGATAGCAGCTTTCTCATCAATAATAGACACTAGAAGAGCCAGGCGTGGTGGCGCTTGCTTGTGATCCCAACATTCAGGTGGCTGAGGCAAAAGGATTTCAGCAAGTTTGAAGTCAACCTGGGCCACATAGTAGTGAGGAAAGGCCAGCATGGAATACACAACACTCTGTCTCAAAAAAGAAGAAAAAGAAAAGAAAGAAAAAAGAAAAGATTCTAAAAGGCAGCAGAATGACATATTTTCTTCAATATTTTGAAGAAAAGTAATGTTTAACCTAGAATTTTCTACTGGACCAAATAATCATTTGACACACTTCAATACATTTAAATCCAAGAGGGTTTGACACTTACAGGCCTGAGCAAAACAACCACTAGAGGATGTGCCTTAGCAAGAAGAAAAAGGTATCCAGAAGGGAGTCTCAAGAAATAGGAGTGAACACAGAAATACGTCTAGTCAATCAAATAGAATTAACTTTAACCTCTTATATTTCAAAAAGACAAAACTAAAACTCCATGCAATAAAAATCGTGTCTGGGGCCAGGGATTTAGCTCAGTGGTTTTGCCGCCTGCTGCACAAGCACAAGGACCCAAGTTCGATCCCTGGTACCAAAAAAAGAAAAAAAAATAGAGTGTCTAATATGTAGATAAAGCTTGTTAAGTTCATCATAAAAATCTATGAACATTGTTTAAAATTTATAATTAAATGTATTGTAAAAGAAATCAAATGAAATTGCAAATATTTTTACTTACAAAACTAATGTTGAACTTAGTTCAAAATTTTAAAAGTAATAATTTAATCAACAGCTTCCAGATAAGCATAAATCTAAGAATATTAAAAAAAATTCATCAGCCCAACAAAAGTCAAGAAAAAAAAAAGACTAAGAAAAAGCATAATAGAAAGAAAATATAAATGAAGATAGTAGATTAAAAAGCAGATGTTTCAGTAAATATGGTAAATTACAGAGATGGAATTGATACAAACTGCATGGATGAATCTCCAAATAATGCTAAGTGAAAGAACAGTCGCAAAAAGCCACATAGTATATGACCTAATTTATGTATAAGAAATGTCTTGGATGGCAACCTATTAGAGACAGAAAGGAAGTGGTTGCCCAGACCTGGCGTAGAAATAGGAAAGTGACGAGAAGTGACTGAAACAAATACAAAGTTTCTTTGGGGGATGATGAGAATCCTCTAAAATTGGGTTACAGGGATTGTTTGTATAGCTCTGTCAATATGTGTACTAAAATACTGCAATGTACACTATAGACAAGTGACCGTCATGATATGAAAGTTATACTCCCAATAAGCAGTTAAAACGTAGATCATTTCATTGAATTTTTTAAATCCACATATATACTGATTATAAAAGACACAACATAAAATCATAAAGAATGTTTAAAAATTAAGCTATATAAAGGATGTATCATGAAAGCAGGGACATCTCAAAGCTGCAATGTTAATGATAGAAAAAATAGAACCCATGTTCAAAGCAGTAATGCAGACCAAGAGGAATATATGATCAAAGATACAACCCAGCAAGAAGACAAGCTAATCTTTGGATTATACACACCTAACAATCTATGCAATAGCCTGCAATTGCAATTGGGGATTTGAAAACATCTTTGTTGGAAACTGATATCATACAGACAAAATATTAGAAAGTATAGAAGCTTTGAAGAGCGTTTATTTAATATCAATATATGGAATCTATAACCAAGCAATACATTTCTTTTTTTAAATTCTTTTATTGGTACATTTTAGGTATACAATATGCTTACATTTATCATTGGGTGCTTGTACCTGTACATGATGTATCTTGGTTCTTATTTTTTCCCCATTACCTGCGCACCCTTCACCCCCTCCACCTTTCCCTATTTACATAGATTTCGTTTCCAATTTTTTTCTTTTCTCAGAATTTTTCCTTTCCCTTCTTTCCTTTTCCCTTCCCCTCCCACCACCCCTACCCCTTTGGACCTTTTCTTCCTATTTCAAATTATCAATTATTCATTTTAATCATTTTAATCCTTATTTACACTTTCAGTTTCTCACATCAGAGAAACTATTTGGTATTTATACATGTGTGTCCTATTTATTTTACTTAAGAGTATCTCCTCATTATGCATCCATTTATCTATAAACGTTGAGTTTCTCTTGCTTATGTTTCGCTTCCTTCTGAGCACCTTTACAAGTTTTTGTAATGTCTACTGTAGTATTAAGAAATATTTTCAGAGACAAAACATCATGCCAAGGGTTTGTATGCTCATTGTACTGTCCATGCCCCTCAGCCACAGACCTGAAGGAACACTGCATGGTTAAACCAGCTGGATTTACTACTCATGGCAGCAAGGGGGACCACACTTTGGTGGAACATGGGCGTCTCGGTGTTGGAAAGGACCTACTACAGGATTTGGACTTCAGTTAGGCAGTCTGAGGAAGGGCCTAAGGAACTGAGAGTTTGCTTCAGATGAGAGGCTCTTAAAAAGCTGGGCAATCTATGATTAAGACATTTGTAGGAAAAATGGATACACCTTGAAAACATAATGTTAAGTGAAATAAATCAGACACGCAAGCTTAAATACCATATGGTTTCTCTCATTTGAGTAGTACAAAGTACAAATAAAGAGCAAACTAAAAGACTGATGAGAAGAATCAGGGAGATAGAGCTTTTGCAAATGGGAAAGAGTCCATGAGATGGAAAGTGAAGAGAAGAGGGAGGGGAAGGGGGCATAAAAAGATGTGAGTATGTCATGTATGTGTACCAGATATCCACAATGAAAGTGACTGTTATGTGTTGTAAACATGAACTAAACAAATAATAGCAATAATAATGAACGTGAGGAAAGAGAATCTAGAGATGGACAAAGAGAGGTGGATGGGGAGGGGAAGGGGAGGGAAAGGGGAATAACAAGAATCAAGACATGTTAAGTACACATACTGGCTCCCTAAATTGAACATAAACTTCATGTAATTCAAACATATACTAGTAAAATAGAAAAAGAAATATCAGTCATTCATGCTTATTATTTTGTGGATTTGACTTTTTCTGTACTTAAAAATTATGAACTGGCCTGATGGTGTCTCTCTTTCTCTGAGAAAATGAGAAAGAAGGAAGGAAGGAGGGAGGAATCCTTCCAGGCTAAAGGACACTACCATCATGAGGGCATTTAGCCCACTGCCTATTTTTCTAAGTGCAGTTTTATTGGAATGCAGTTAGCGAGCCCATTCATGTTTGTATGGCCTTTGGTTACTTTTGTACTGCAATGGAAGCACTGAGTAGCTGTGACAGAAACTGTACAGCCCTCTCTCTCCCCGGTGCTGGCTGATTCCTTGGGCCATATGATCCTTAACACTGGGGACTTGGAACCTTTTCCCAAGGACAAAGGAAGCTAATGGCAGCTTTCAAGCAAAAAAATAATATGAACAACGTGTGCTTTAAAAATTACTCCAATAGCCAGGTATGGTGGTACACGCCTGTAATCTCAGCACTCAGGAGGCTGAAGCAGGAGGGTCACTATGAGCTGGAGGCCAGCCTGAACAACATAGTGAGTTCAAGACCACTCCAAACTATGTAGTGAGACCTTGTCTCAAAAAACAAAGCAAATTTATTCCAATAAAACTTGGGGCTGTGTGTTTATCAGTACAAACAGAATTCTGCTTTCATAAAGCTGTGTTTAGAAAGAAAGTCTATGGCATTTTTACTTTTGGCAGATTATTTATCTAGTCACCCATTTGCAACACACACACACACACATACATCACACACACACATAAACATATACACATATACTTTCAAGAGAATTGAGATACAAAATAGCACTGTTATGAGACAGCAGCTGAGAGACATCAGTTTTATATAGAGAGTATTATGAAACCATTAATACTTTCTTCATGTATCTAAGCATTGTAGCATTATTAATCACACAGCAAGAGGCCAGCCTTTGATAAACAGGGAACAGTGCTCCACAAAGTAAGAAGGAAAGGGAAGAAGCTCACAGAACATAGTCTTCAGGCACTGTAGACAGTAGGTCACTCACCTGTGAATCCAAGCTGGAGGAAGCCAGAAGGAGCAATGGACTCCACTGTGGAAAGTCAAAGAGCTCTGCAAACCTTTCTAACTTCAGTTTATCACAATAAAGCATTAAACAGAATGCAAGCTTTTTCGAGAACACTATCTATTTACTTACAGGTCAGTGCCCCATAGGCCAAGTGAAGAATGGTTCAGGAACTTGAGAGCAAAGGTTGAACAGAGTCAAAGCAATAACCCCAAACCCAGAGTGCACACAGGAAACCCTCATGGTGTCAGTGGGTTCTGGAAAGTGCTGATGAGCCTTGGGGGAGGAGCAAAGAGCAGAGTGCTCAGCCCATGCTCCGCTCTTCTTTTTGTAAGCCCTCATTGTGAAAAGGTACTTAAAAATATAACAAGACAGGGTCCGGGATTTAGCTCAGTGGTTCTGCCACCTGCCTCGCAAGCAGAAGGTCCTGAGTTTGATCCCTGGTACCAAACAAGACAAAGATACCTTCAAACTTCTCCCCTCAGTTTAAAAGCTGGCCCCTGGGAAATCCTTAAATTACAGGCCCCTGGTGTTTTGGACCCAGCCTCAGAGTTTTGTGAAGACTGAGAGCCCACAGTAGTTTCTTGTTAAAAATTCCAAGAGTTCTTATCCAAATAATGAATAACCTCAGCCTCTGCCCACCTGATGCAGCCACATACATGCAGAAATTAATGATTTTTGGAAAGGTTGAAACTAACAATTCAAGTAAACACAGAGAACTTTTTCAATGGTTGTTTGCTTCCCCCACCCCTTCCTTTCCCTTCCTGTTGTTAAACTTTCCATTTCTATCATCTGTTTTGACAGGCACAGCCGATAGCCAGAACTGTTCAGGCCAGGTCTGGGTGTAGAAAGAGATGATTTTTGGAGAAAAGTATGTATTTTAGAGAGTAGGGAGTCAAAGGTCTATCAAGGCTTTATTTTGCCTTGATGCTGATGTCTACCCACGACAGTATCTTTTTGTTTTGTTTTGGTTTGGTTTTTGGTTTTTTTCCTAAGTCATTTCTTAAGTTTGACCCTGTCCAGGTCCAGCAACAACAGACTGGAGGCATGGTAGGAAGTGGCCAGCAGCACCTGTGCCCCTTTTCTTTTGGCTTTTAAGCTTTTTTCTTTTTTTCACCCTCAATTAGCATATGTAAAGCACAAGTATAAAGTTTTCCCTCTGGTAGCTGCTCTCCAAGCTGCCTCAACTGGACCTCCTGGAAAGAGAGGCAGCCATTGCCATTTTACTTTTGTTTAGAGAGGCTGTTTTAGCAAGCCAAGGAGTTTTAAAGCTAACTCCCAATGAGTTGGAATTGAAAAAACCTGGGAGGGTTCTAACTTAGCAACACTTTGTCCTGGCAAAAATTTTTCAGGGGATCTACAGGGTTATTGTGTTTACCTGTTTCCAGCCCCATAAATATATCAAGACATATTTGAAGGAGGGTCTATCTTACTAGCAGAGAAAGAAAAGTCTAAACCTGTACCTCAACTCTTAATGGAGGCTTAAAAGAGGGCTCTCACAGTGTCATCTTAGGTCACTTTGGGACAAGGATACCAGGAGATCACTGAGAGAATTTTACCTCTCACCTCATGGAGGAGTGCAGGTGGGGATGATAGACAAGTGGAGACTTCTCTTCTGGTTACCAAGTCAGGCTGTTGGGACCCATTTTCCACTGAGGAGCCTCTGGGTGCCCACCGGGGGGTTGCCCTGACCACGGTCCCTCACTTGTCTTCTCAGCTTTTTCTGGTTCTACACAACCAGAGAGATCGTCTCTAGAAAGGAATCCAGCTGCGTGTCTGGCCACCATTTCCACTGGCTTCAGTGGGGGATCAACTTGTCCTCTGCTTTAAGAGTGGCAGCTGCTCTAAGACTGTTTAACTACCTGGCAAAGTAACCACTGTTTTTTTAGATTGTGTGTGTGTGAATGTGTGTGTGTGTGTGTGTGTATGTTCAGCTATTTGCCGCACTTACCTTTTTGTAGAGAAGAGGATGCCCCATGTTGGTCACCAAAGATGTACCCAGCTCCCTCTATCTTCTGGGTCTTTGTTATGGGGCAATGAAGATTGAAACCCACAATACAGCAAATAGCAATCAGTAAGGAATGGCCAAATGTGTGTTTATTAGAAAGAACAAAAACAAAGTTCTCAGGTAGGTAGCTGAAGAGGGGTGTTTTGTAAGGTAGACACCACCGATATTTAAGTCTATTGGCCTTTTATATAGTTTTTGAGTCCTGTGTATGTGGCAGAAATCAGGAATGCTCCTGATTGCAGGCAGCTCTTTAATATTTGGAAAGCAAGCAGTTTTCTTAGTGTTTTATTTTTTTAAGGTCTCTTTTATTTGGTTAAGGGCCTGGTTTTTGTTTCTCGTATTTTATGAAGGCCTGCCGGTCAATTTGTTTAACTATTTGGCCCCTTTGGTATGTTAACTTATTTAAGCCCTGACTTTTAGCTTATTTTAGGCTAACTATTTAGGACCTGTACACTATCTGTTTAACTTTTTTTTTTAATCTGTTGGTTTTATCAAGAGTGACACATCTGTGTGGACACAAGTCATTGGGAAAAGATTGTCAGAGGAGAGAGAATTTGAGGTACACCAGGTAATAAATGCAGCATAAGAAAGGTCAGAGAACACACTCAGGCAACATAGAAAAGAACAAGATGGCTACTGAGAAAAGAGGCTGGCTATCAGCAAACACAGGCATTTGTTTGCTCAAGTAGATGAAGGCAGGCAGAGATGAGTTTTCAGTGCCAGTAGGAAAACAGTCAGATTTTTACAAATTTTATGCTTCCCTGGTAGGATTAGTGACATCAAAGAAAACTGGTCATAATCTTAGCAAGTTGTCATTTACAATCATCCAAATGAAATGCATTGATCTCTATGCTATTTGTCATCTCTAGTACTCAATCCTTGGTCAGAATTTCTATTTTTGCTTCCCTGTCTTATGAGGCAAATCAGTACAAAAATATAGGCTTTGTTCATGAGCAAACATTTTCTCCTGTTTTTGAATGTAGTCATTCTTGTCTTTTCCTGAAGGATCATCATTACAGATGAAGTTATAGAAGTTGGAAGGGAACATCAGTAACTACTCCAGGAAGAAGACTCAGTAAAATAGCTAAGGAAAATAGGGGAGAATTCTGCTACAGAGTAAATATTATCAGTGAGTAGTTGTGCCTGCAATGTTGGGTAGTCATTAGAGCTGTGGCATGGATTCATTTATCTCTGGCAAGGGGCAATCCTGCCTGCCGCTTTGTCTTGGCTTTATCCGGGATACCTCCCTTCCTAAAATGAGTCATCAGTCTTAGAAATTATTCATTTGTTGAGGTAGAAGGGAAGGTAGTAAGAAGTGCAGGCCCTCAAGCGCAGGTCACAGTGATCTATGCCAAGTGGTTATAAACAAGGTGTGGGTAGTGTCTACTACTTACTATTAAAGCAAGGTGATTCATACTTAGTGTAACATACCTTTGTAATAAGCAACCAGTTTTACCAAATTAGTCAAACATGTCTTTGGACAATCATCCAGTCACCTCTTAAAATCAAAATCCAGTTCTCTATATAAGCTTTTCAACTGGGTAGATGTTGGTCAGCTAACATTTTTAGCTTTGAAGTAGAAAAAAGGGACAGCAGGCCTATTATTTTTATTGCTATGTCACAAGTGGCTGTTCAGAGCTTCCCTGTCCAACCTTTCTAACTCCAAGTGACACCTAAAGGTACCAGGAACCTTGGGCTGTGAAACATTGCTCTACAGCAGTGAGCTACATAGGCCTGATTCACTAATTCCTTGCTTCTTACTGACCCTGTCTAGGCACACGTTTGAGTAAGTCACAGTTTTAAACAGCAATGATTAAAAACAGTTGACCATGAGCACCTTGAACTTGCACATCAAACCTCAAACTGAGGTAAGGCAAAATAGAAGTCCTGCAGATATGTCCAATATACATCTGACTCTGATGGTAATATTGAAGTGATTGCAGTAACACTGGAAACACCCTCCCAGTTTAGTCCAGGAATATAGGGAGAGCCCATGTCATTCACACTGATATCTTGCAGGATTCAGTCAGGCATCCTTACCTTTAGACCACAATCCACTCTGCACTGACTGATTTGATACGTCCTCACAGGTTCCCTGCTGGGTACAGGGGGTGAACTTATGGGCGTGTGCTAATGACAGCTACTAGTTCTTCTCCTCTGCCTCCTCCTCTTTCTTCTTTCTTCTCCTCCTTCTTCCTCCTCCCCTCATTCTCTTTCTCCTTTTTCCTCCTCCTCCTCCTCCTCCTCTTTTTCTTCTTCTTCTTCTTCTTCTTCTTCTTCTTCTTCTTCTTCTTCTGTACCACATGTCTTTATTTTTAGTCTATCTGAAATGTATGTGTGTAGATAGATATGGATATGGGTGCAGATATATATGCCTGGGAGAAGCAAAACTCATGATGTATCACATTCTCAATGTGCTACCTCCCTTCACATCAGACCCGAAGGAATTATGTCTTCCTGCTTCACTGCCACACAATGCTTACTTCACAGTGCCTGTCAACTTTAAGTCCCACAACCGTAACCTCAGTAATTCATGCTTTCCAGCCTCTAGGTGAGTGTTCTATTCATATTACTTTATTTAATCCCTCAAAGGTAATGATTCACCCGCATTTTTTATGAGAAAACATATTCAGCAGTGGTAAAATAATTTATTTATCCAAAGATAAACAAACATGAGTAGGATTTAGGCCCAACTCTATCATGCACAAACTCATATCCTTTCCACAAAGCCAAGTTGCTCCTTAGAGATGTTTATCCATTGCCTTAATTCACTTTGTCTGGTAGTTACTATTTGATGTTCGTACTTTCTTCATGACTAACAACACCCCAAGTTTGTACAGGTTTAAAGCAGACATGCATTCAGGGAAGGTGAGCTCCAGGTCCAGCCCAGCTCCAGAGTCTAAACCAGGCATGAGAGTTGTAGGCCCCTTCTCCTTTCAATGGGAGGGATTTAGACATGTGACCTGGTTCTTTCCAGTGAAATAAAAGAAGAAAATCTAATGTAGTCTTTTGAGAAAATATTTTCTTTCTGACAAAAGGATATAGTTTTACCAGGATACATCCTGTTGTACTTACTTTTTTTTTCATTTTCAGCATTCATGTATAAGAATGTGTTATCAAGAACTGCGGGGCCAGGGATTTAGCTCAGT